TCTCTTATGACTCCAGTCAGGTTGAACCTGGGAACCTGGGGTCCAAGATGGGCATTCTGAATGAGAGAGTCAGCTGTTGGCCGGCCAGCCCTTGGGAGGCTTCTTCTCAGGGTGATTTGATGAAAATTAAAGGAGAAGGAGGCATGTCTGGAAAGTAGACCCAATGTCTGGTTACCCCAGGTTCTAGGCTTTGTCTATGGAGACCATGCAGGTGCACACATCTCTATGTCCATGAAATCCAGGAATCTTTCTATGGGAGAGACTGAGAAGCTGAAAAAAATCTCAGAACTTTGGCCAACTTTCTTGAACTGTGTTCAGAGGGCAAGTCATTTTTTTAAGATCACACACAAACACAGGGCTAAGGCAAGAAATAACAAGGATACAATACTCCTTGTTTATCTGTGATGTCCCTTTCTGTGGTTTCAGTTACTCACAGTCAACCACAAACCTAAAATATTAAATAGGAAATTCCAGAAATAAACAATTCATGTCTTAAACTGAATGCCTTTCTAAGTAGCACTACAAAACACTACAACATCTATCTCTGCCTTGCTTATCCCTTTGTCTAGTGTATCCGCATTGCATACATCACCCAACCATTAGTCCCTTAGTAATTGTCTTGGTTATGGACTAGATCAGGGTATTACAATGGGCCTTGAGTCTACTAAGCAACCCTAATTTTACTTAATAATGACCTAATACACAAAAATAGTGATACTATTTTATTGTGGTATATTGTTATTATTGTTCTGTTTTATAATTATCTGTTATCAATCTGTTACTGTGCATAATTTATAAATTTAACTTTATCACAGTGCATAGAGAGATTGGTACTAGGGACATCCATAGGGGAGCCTTAGAATATGTTTGTCTTGGATAAGTGTGTGTGGGGGGGTGTGCTCTAATAATGTCTAACTACCTAACAACGAGACTGACAGGTGACCTGCACTAAAGTGGACAATAAGGCCTTGGAATGGGAGAAAAGTGGCTCACAGGCTGAGCCAGTAGGAAAGGCACAGAAGAACAGGGTTCAAGCAGGCTGCTCTGGGCCAGTGTTGCCCAGGAATTATGCTACCATTATAGAACAGAAAAGACAAATTGCCCTTAGTCTGTTGATGGTGAAATTGCCCAAGGTCTCAGCCTAAATATGCCCAAGGTCTCAGAAGCTAGATTGCAACACAAGTTTGTTTGGCACCCAAGAAGGAGGAAGCTCTTGCTGCGTGACCCCACTCCTTACTGTGCTGGGGGGATTTCTACCACCCAAGACATGCTTTCCACCCTCCAATCCTCTCTCTCTCTCTCTCTCTCTCTCTCTCTCTCTCTCTCTCTCTCTCTCTCTCTCTCTCTCTTCTCTCTCTCTCTCTCTCTCTCTCTCTCTCTCTCTCACACACACACACACACACACCTGGTAGTGATATAGGAAATCAGGAAGACGTCAGGACTACCCAGCACAACATATTTATGACTCCAATTACAGCAGGGACAGTGACTGACACAGATAGTTGCATGCACTGGGCTCTGAGGCCTCTGTAACAATAACTACAAGACGACAGAGATGTTAGCAAACCCAGTGACAGTGGCTCTATTATAATGATAAATCTACAGCTTTATATAGAAATAATGAGACTAGGGTAGGAGAGGGGAGGGGGGGAAGAGTTGGATGAGTTTAGTCAATGGCGCTCTGGTTGGAGAGACAGAGGCAACCCCCTAGGATTGCCCAGGAAACTGGCAGGAGCCTTCTTCATGCAGTAGGAGTGAGGGCCTCTGACTGGAATAGATGCCACGAATTCCCTTGCTTTCTTTTCCAAGGCTAGGCCTGGAAACCACTGGAAGACTTGAGGGCTACAACTGCCCTAGAATATCCTATCTGTCTGCTTCTCACCCTCCCACAGTCCAGTGCTGTATATAGCTGGAGGCCAGGGTGCCCTGGGACTTCAGTTTGCAATCAACATAGACTATCCAGATGTTAAGCTTCCTCTCACTAGCCTCAAGCTCAGTGTAGACAATCATCAGGCTTTACTACTTCAAACTAACTTGAGCCCTGGGCCAGTGGACCCACCTGGTTCCATGTGCTAGGACTTGAATGTGATTCCTGATGCATTCGAGAAGCTGCTGGGGTAGCATTCATGGCAGAGCATGGTCACGGAGCATCCTTCTAATCCTCATGGTGCCTCTCTTTCCACTCAATTTGTGAGTCACTGGCTCTCTGTTCCAGTTCAGACTGTCTTGCTAGTTAGTCTCACCAGAACAAGCTCTGTACCTGAACTCTGAGTGAGTGCACAGGATGTCCCTTCCCAAGTTTGGTTGTGCCTACTATAAAAAAAAATGACAGGAACTTCTCCTCCAGAAAACCTCCCTAGGTTAATCCAATTTACACCAGCAGAAAGTCAACTGTAGACATAGTTGCTCCTGAATCCTCCACTGGGAGACTTTCCAATACAGAATAGGATGGGAGATGTACCTTGGGGACACAGAAATACATGGGCGGGGCGACTGCTGCTACACCAGAAGATCACGTGGTGGAGGGCTCCAGGGAGGTGTTGGAAGGTGGTTTGGACTGGCAGAGAGGTAGTAGACAGAGCTGTGTAACTGTCTGTGGTGGTTAGTTCTTGTCAATATGACATAAACTAGTCATGAAGAAGCCTCAGTTAAGAAACTGTCTCCATCAGATGGCCTGGAGGTGTATCTGTGGGGCATTTAAGAAACTGTCTCCATCAGATGGCCTGGAGGTGTGTCTGTGGGGCATTTTCCTGATTGATGGTGGATGTGGGAGAGTCCAGCCCACTGTTGGCTGTGCCGCCCCTGGGCGAGTGGTTCTGGGTTGTATAAATGAACAAACCATGGAGAGCAAGTCAGTAAGCAGCATCCTCCACGGCCTTTGTTTCAGCTCCTGCCTCCAGGTTCCTGCCTGGCTTCCCTTGACCAGGGACTGTAAACTGTAAGCTGAAATAAACCCTTATCTCCCCCAGTTGCTTTTGGTCAGTATTTTATCCCAGCAATGGAAAGCAAAGTAAGACAGAGTCCCTGTAAACCAACGCAGGGCTGTTGGGGTTATTGAGAGACCAATCAGGCTGGGGCAAGCAGGACAACTGTCATTCCAAGCTCTGGTGTGAAGTACAGCTCTGAGGACAAAATCAAGCCCAGGGGAGAAACAAGACCTGGTTGTTAGCTGCGCTCTCACCTGCCCTCCCCCGCCTTCCCCCACCACACACACACTGCACGGACTACTAGATTTTATATACTCCGAGTGCTCAGTCATTCCCTATGACGGTGACTTGGGTCTCCCTGGTCCCCAAATAATTAAATTTTCACAGCCAACATCATGACACAGGTAAAAAACACCAGCCTGTTTCCAGCAGTTCTCCTTGCCTGAGTTCTTGTCTGTGGGGTTTGAGCCCGTTCTCCAGGCCCATGATGGTTGCTGAGACTTTGGGCTGCAGGATCTCCATGGTACTCACCGGAAGCCCGGCTCAGAGAGACTGCAGGCAAGTCCAAGTGTGAGCGTGGCGCCCAGCTCTGCAGAGTTGGGAATGCCTGGGCTGGCCTCCCTCTACTCCTCACCTAGAACATGCCCACTGGTTTTGGCCTGCTGGGTTATTTCTATGTATCCATCCTCCCCCGTGGAGTTCAATTCCTTTCATTTGGAGATCTTCCCTACTGTCTTTCTCTTTTAGTAAACAGTATTTTCTGGCCTGCCGCTGCTGAGTATAAACCACCAGTCTCTTTGGTTAGATTTTAAGTCAAAAAGGTTGCCTTCTACCCCAGTCCCACACTCGCCCGGGCCCTTCATAGTCCTCTTAGGAAACAGAGATGCAGGAAGGCTCCACTCGCACTGACTAAGGAGGACCCACCTTCTATTCTGGGCAGAGGAAGCTGCAGTGGGACCAGGGTGGGGGACAGCTACCTTCCAGGAAATGGAAAGTTACATACAGGCTAGGGATGTGCTTGCATAGCATAGACTGCCTGTTCCAGGACGAGGCTTGCTCTTCTGTACCAGACAGGAAGGTGGGGGCTCTGTTCAGGGGCAAAGGGGGCTCCTAGGAGGACAGAGTAAGACACAGTCCCTGGCTAGCAGAGCTTCCCACCTCGGGACCACAGCCTCACTAGGAGACCTGAGCTGCCCTTTGCCGGTGCAGCCGCCCTAAGGAAGCCCCGCTGAAGAAGCACACAGGGAAGAGATGCGCCAGATGTGAACTGCAGAGTGATTTATGCTACAAAGCTCCTGGGCCTGCTCTGGTGTGCTGCTGCTGTTTTGCTGTCCCCGCCCCAGCCCGAGTTTGTAGACTAGCCAGGCTGGCTGCTCATGCTATTCCTGGGAATGGCACATTTCAAGAAAATAGAGTTGGGGACAGCACTGGGACATTGTTATGCCCAACAATGAAACTAGAATACCCTAGAGTTCCTTCCTGAGGCAAAAGTAGAGTCCATCAGCTTTCTCTCTGAACATATCATATTCTTTATCAACCAATGTGGGCCTGCTTTCCCCAGAACCTCTTCCACATAATGATGTTACGTTCGGACTGTCCAAAGGTAGGGTTTGTATATGTGTGCTCACCTCTGCTAAGGTACAATTCAATAAACATCCAGGGAGACACTCCAGTAGCCAGCACTGCAGGTCAATTAGAGTTTGGTTAAATGCCCCTGCTGACATCCACACAGGTAGGTACTGATTAGTTTAGTATGGACTTACCTTCAGTTTAAAAGACTATATAACATGATTTTATAGATAACAAACTTAAGGTTTAACAAACAGACAGAAACATCCATACCACACAATCAAAATCAAAAGACATAAATTCCTTTCCTCCTTTCCTTCCTTCCTTCCTTCCTTCCTTCCTTCCTTCCTTCCTTCCTTCCTTCCTTCCCCCATCTAGGCAGAGTTCAAGGACTTCCCCACAATGAACTGGGCCACTAGGAAGTTTCCATAGTTTCCTATGTATCTCCAGAGGGACAGAGATCTGCCAATGCCCAGGCAGCCAAGGGAACAGGGCTGTACTCACACTGGTGGCGTACTGGATGTCCTTCCAAATGGAGGTCTCCCGGGACAGGTCAGAGGCCTCAAAGAGATTGTCCAGGATGACCTCCCCGATCATGTCATGGCGGGAGAAGCGATCAAAATCAAAGACACTGAGATGCAGCTTACGGTCAGCCAGCTCCTCATAGGGCACGGGGAAGTGGAAGTTCTCATCAAAAGTGGGGTTCAGGGTCTTGCGGTGGACCCTGGTCTGCAACTTGCACTTGCGGTCAGGCAGGAGGTAGATCTTGACATAAGGGTCAGAACTTCCACAAAAGTCCTTGGCAGGGAGGTCAAAGGCCTTCAGGATGCGCACAATCAGGGTCTCACTCTCATAGTCATAGCGGAGGCTGAAGTTGATCTTCCCACAGCTCTTGGCAGCCTCAGTCTTGGCATCATCCCCGTCCACTGACTTCTGCTTGTAGAGCTCAGGCTTGATGCGGCCAATGCTGGTGGGCTGCTCAGCCGCTGGTGGCAGCTCATTGCCGTAGTCTACACTGGAGACGTGCATCTGCCGTGGCAGGTGGCGCTTGAAGGACGTGTGCCTGGTAGAGGACAGGAAGCAAAAAAAAAAAGTGTGTCAGGGCCTGGGAATGACCCTGGTAGCTTATCCTCCCTCTTGTGGGCCCTCCTTCCTTCCCTTTCATTGACCCCACTTTTCCTCTTCATACAGTTTATGCACAAAGTGGTTGGGAGCATTGTGTGTCTTAATATATGTAAAGTAGTTGGAATGGCGCCCGTTGTACAGCAAGCTCAATAAGTGTTAGCCATTATTTTAGTCATCATTCCTTCTTTTCTGACATCTGCTTTCTAGGTTTCTTTCCTGGTAGGCATGGCTACTTTCTCCACTAGAGCATGGACCTCTGTATGAGGAGGACTATCCTTCCCGCTGCCTGCATCTTTATAATCATCATCACCACTGTTGCAATCATCATGATCACTTATTTAAGATTTAGCATCCAGCAGACAGCCAGATAGTTAAAGGCACAGTCTTTAGAGATAGGTTACAGGTTAACATTGGTCCTGCTACTTTGGGCAAGTTAGTAAATTCTCTGCACTACAAAAATAAAGATAACAAAAGTAACAATTGTGTAGAGTTGTGTGAGAGTAAAATAGATGCCTGAAAAGTGCTTAGAACAGGGCCAGGCGTGTGATTAGCAACATGTGTTAGCTCTCAGCATTATCGCATGGGTTCTTTCATTGGTTCCTCACAACGATCTTAGCAGAATCATTTGCCCTATTTTATAGTTTAGGAAAATGAGACTTAAAGTGGGCTGTATGCTCAAGGCTATATGGCAAATTTGGTCTGGGGGACCTTAGCATCTTCATGCCTGGCTTCTGGTCTGAAGACCATGTCTCTTTCCCTTGGATTGGTGTCTCTGAGACTGAAGGAACATTGCAGGGAGCCAGGAATCAACCCAATTCTCAAAATTTGAGTAAACGCAGTGGCTATCCACATCTTTTAGAGACGTTTCTGGATTTAGAGTAAGCAGGCAGTCATCGTGTTTGTTGCCTGTAGGCTTTTGAATTAGATGATGCCAGGTTATGCAACTGCTGCCATGTGGGGAACTCAGAAGGATTTTAAAGAAACCCTTGTTCTTAAAAATCCTGGACTCTCTTGCTTTACCTCCAATGCAGTCTGTAGCTACTGCTTTACCTCCAATGCATGACAGTCTGAAACTGCTAGGCTTCCCCAACCTAGCTCTCAGTGCACCATGAACTTGGATGTCTCTGGGCCTTTGCCTACACTATTCCCCTGTCTGAAGTCTTTCCTTTCCTCAAAACTCTCGGTCCAGCCTCTAGTCTAGTGTTCTGTGTCCTCACATTCGCAACCTCATGCTTACCACGTGCACAGCCTCTCACCTTGAAGGCTTCCCTGTCACCACACCTACCCTGACGCCACCTCCCCTGTTGATTGCCACCGTGGATCGCACCATCTGCTTTGGTGCTCAAAGGAAACATGCTTCTATTTCTGGACCCCGATTCTCAGCGGCTGGAATCTCTTTGATGCACTGTACCGGAAAGTGTGGGTGCATGGGGGTTAGGAAGTGAGGGGTGAACTCTTCACCTGGTGGACGACGCTGGTTCTGTGGTCTGTCGCTGCAGCCTCGTGTGACGCATGATATGCTCTTTGACCGACATCTGCACCTCGGCTGGGATGTCTGGAGAAGTGTGGCTGATCTTCACAGCCGCCTCCAGGAAGCCCAGGGCACTGGGGTCCTTCAGCTTATCTGCCATGTTGTCTCTGGAGCTGGGACTATGGAGGGTCTCTGAAGCAGGGTTAGCAGAAGAAGGGCTGGAGGCCTCCTTGTTCCTCCTGGGCATCCAGCACAGCTTCCAAAAGAGAAAGAGAAAAACTGCCACCAGGGCCACGCCACACACAATAACTACCACGGCGAGGAGGCTGACAGAGGTTCCTGCCCTCAGCATGAGGCAGGCAGGGTAGGACAGAGACAGACAGAGGTGGGGGTGAGCAGGCGAGGCGTTGGAAGAAGGCGCACACAGAACGGACACAGACGGAAGAAGAGAGAAGAACGGTTATGAGCAAAGCTGCCAAGTCATGGGAAGAGGAGATGGTTTGAGGCTCGACCACTGATGGTCCATTTTGTCAACTAGCTGCAGCCTGCTGTTCGCCACAGTCTGATTACTTCAGCATCACCCTGCCCCCACCTTTTACCAGCTTGGGGAGCACTGGCTGCTTGCCCTACTGCTCCTGGCTTGTGCCCAGGGAGGGGACAGTGATTTAAATGGGAATCTAAGCAAATGTGCAAATTCCTGAAGCGTTCATATTTGTATGCTGTTTGAATTTCTATTAGAGTAGTTACTGTGGCCAGACTTGTAAGTGTCTTGTTTTTCTTTTTTACGCATTTTATTTTGTACTGGGGATGAAGTCCAGAGCCTTGCCCTTGTTATACAAGTAATCTCTCACTGAACTCTATCTTCAGTTCCCAATGGTGAATTGTGCACACAATCCATATAAAGTCTATGAGGTAGGGGGCAGATGCTGGCTAACTTATGCTCCTTTCTTTGTCCAGTATGTATCCTTGTTTGATCCTGGAACAAAGCAGGAATTCAATAAACACCCAGCTCTCTCCCAGGGAGAGGAGCCCAGGCCCATTTCCTTAAGGGCAGGTGTGTTAGCGTCTCTTTTCCTAGAGTTTTCTGCATTCTGTAGGCTAACTGGGCACTTGTAGTAAGATGGAATCTGATTGCCAGGGTCTATATAGGTCAAAGTTAAGTACAAAATACAAATGACTCCCATCACTGTCTTCTTCCATTCTGCGGTTCGTTGGAAGCTTTGTTGTGAACCCAGTATTTGTGAAAAGTGTGGCAAACTGGGTTTGAAGCAGGCACTCAAAGCCCTAACCTGTTCCCGCCCAGAGGCGGTGGTGCCAATCATCTCAAGAGAGCTGTGCAGAATGCCTCCTCATGTGTGGAGCGATATGCAGACTCCTACCCCACCTCCTCTCCCCACATGTGAAGATGAATCTTTGAGTCCTAGGCAGAAGTCAGAAGGCTCTGAGCCAGAGGTATGCCTGGCAGGGCTGTCACGTGATCACTCGTGGATGAACAAGTAGAGGAGCCTGGTTTGGCTAATACTGTGTGAGAAGCAATGAAATTCCATCACTGTCACTACCCCAGATGTCTGACATTTTTTTTCTGGAAGAGGCCAATGACTTGCTAACTGGCCCTGGGCAGATTGGTGACATTGGTGACTCTCTATGCATGGTCGAGTCCCATCAGCTCAACCCTCTGCTGTCTTTCATCTGGCTAGTCCCTGCAGACCTCTGGACCAGCTGCTAACTGCCTTACAAATCTTAGGACTTATGGTATGCAGTTAGTCAACAAGTACCAAGGCAAGGCTGTCCTTTTATAGATGGCAACAGTAGCCCCAAAGAGGGACTTACAAGAGGCTACAGGTTAAATCAGACATAGAACTTGGGTCAGGGCCCAAGTGTCCACTATCCTATTCTTTTCCATTTCTATGTCTTGTTTGTCCCAGATTAAACTCTAGACTCCTCCTATAGATTCCTGTATAGTGGGTTTTCATTCATGAACCAGCATATAAGCAGGCATACATGAATGAATTACAATTCTTTCTCAATTAAGTTCAATTATGCCAGGCTGCCAGATGCTGAGTTAGACTTGGCAAAATGTCTAGGTCCCTCCAGGTTCTCGCACTGTATCCAGTACTGAAGGAAAGCTACCCTACATCCTGAGGAGGTAAGAACTTTAGCCATGCTCTCAGGGGGCCACCACTGCCTTCTAGCTCCCTGTTCAGTCCTTGTCAGGATCGGCAGTCAGGTGCCTCCATGAAAAGTGGTGAAGAGGAGATCATCTGCCATTTCCCCCCACCTCTGACCCCACTCAGCCCGGCACAGGCACTTCAGAGCCCTTCTCTGGACAAGAGCTATCACTAGCCGTCCCCTGGAGCCGCAGTTCTCAACTAGTGGGTAATGACCCCTTTGGGGTCAAATAACCCTTTCTCAGGGTCACCTAAGACCATCAGAAAACACAAATATTTACACTAAGATTCACAACGGTAGCAAAATTGCAGTTATTAAGTAGCAAGAAAAAATAATTTTATGGCTGGGGGTCAGCACAACATGAGGAACTGTATTAAAGGGTCACGGCATTAGGAATGTTGAGAGCCACTGCTCTGAGACTACCAAGTCTCCAATGAGACATGCATGTTCCCCATAGAAAAAAATTCCAAAGAATTATAATATTTATCATGTCATATAAGTAGTCAAAAAGTTATATATGGATTGACAGTAATAGTTATTTTACTACTGGATTTAGTCAATTTATCCAACATCATTATGTTTAATATTAAAGTGGTTTTATATATCCAATCATGTGATCCTTTCTAATGAAACAGGTAAAATTATTGTCTCCCTTTGCGTCTAGTAAGACCCAGAGAATTAATAGACTGCCCAGGCCATACAGTCAGTAAGGTGGGCCTCTCCAGCCTTGCCCATATGGCTCAGCAATATCACTTTGGTAGAGCATGTATATAACTTGGAGACAAGTACACATACGCTGGAAGTACTTAAGTTTTTCCTGTTGTACATTTATGATCTAAATGGCTCAGAGGCTGTTCTTCCAAGCCCTTATCCTTCTGGGTGCATCTGGAAAGCTATTGTAGATATGTACGTCCTTATTCTAAGTGTCTGGGCATCTCTGGACACTTCACATCTGTTCTTTGTTACAGCTGCTCTGGGTCCATTCCTGCAGTGATTCACTTTAAAACAAAAGGTATTTCTAGGGCCATGCTTCCCTTTGATCATACATTTTACTTGCTCTGGTAATAATTAGAATTTTAATGAGAAGGGAGGAGGTGAGGAGGGAATCCAGAGAGCACAGAGTGCATTTAAATGTTCAGCTTGACAAAAAAAAAGTATACTCATAAATGAAAGAAAGGTGGGGGAGGGACCAAGGGATTTTTTTTCCCTTCGTGTAGTTGCTATTTCAATTGCTCCTCCATGTGACCTCCAGCTGCTGTTCCCTTGGCTCTCTGCTTAGAGAAGACAGTGGATATGGATTATTGGGAATCAGTCCCCAGCACTCAATACTGGCTATGAAAGAACAGGAGAGCCACCCCATGCCTGGAGAATCTTCTCCCAGGACTAGAAGAGCCTGGACGCTGGCCTCTCATAAGCAGGTAATACAAGAAGAATTAGGTTCTGAACACTGAAAGACTTCATCCACACAGGAGACTTACGGTGTTAAGTAAGAAAGCAAGAACAGGCCAGACGGTGGTGGCACACGCCTTTGATCCCAGCACTCAGGAGGCAGAGGCAGGCAGGTCTTTGTGAGTTCAAGGCCAGCTTGGTCTACATAGTAAGTTCTAGGACAGCTAGGAATACACAGGGAAATCCTGTCTCGAAAAATGAAAAAGAAAAATGGGGAAGGAGGGAGGGAGGAAGGAAGGAAGGAAAGGAAGAAAGGAAGGAAGAAAGAAAGAAGAATCAGACAAGAGGAGTCGGTAATTGGAGAGGACTTGAACTCAGCCAGCCTTCATCCCCTAGTGTGTTAGTCAGTTCTCTGTCATAACAAACACCTGAGATAACCAACTTATGACAAGAAAAGGACCATTTCTGCTCACAGTTTGAGAGGCTTTAGTCTATGATCTATCAGTCTCATTGTTTGGCCCATGCTGTGCATCATCATGGATGGGTGTGGTAAAACAAGCTCTTGTATCGTGACCAAGAAGCAAGAGAGAGGAAGAGAAGGGGGAAGGGGCTGGGGTCCTGATATCTCTGTAAGAGTCTGCTATAAGACTTCCCACTAGGCCTCTTCTCTGGAAGGTCGCACCCCCTCCCAACAGGCCAACTTTAGGAAACAAGCTCAGATTTGTAGTCTTTTGAGCAGACACTGCAAATCCAAGCCTTGGCACCTGCTTTCAGGCATCTGAGACCATCTAGCCACTCCCTGGGAGGGCAAAACCAGTGAGATCTATCTATGCTTTGGAGACATAATCCCAAGAATATTGTCTGGAACAAGGCATGTGGCTTTAACCCTAGCTGGGGACCTGGACTTCACAAGGTACTCCAAAACAGGGCAGGTATCTGAGGAGGGTGTGTGTGTGGTGGGGAGCACCAGTGCAGATGACTGAAAAGTGCATTGCTATCCACATTGCTTTCAAGGCCATCGCCTTAACCACTTGGCCACGACTACCTGCCCACATTGCTTTCTAATGGTTATTCCTGCCTCACCAGATCATTATGAAAATCTAATAAGCACAGCCCTAATATGCAGAGAATGTCCCCCAAACATAAGCTGCTATTGTCCCCCAGGACTTGGTTTTCCTTTTTTCTTATTTCTTTTTTTGGTTAAGTATAATCGTTTGCTACATACAGCTAGGCCTCTGGAGCAGAGAATGGAGACCCTAGATCAGGGGGCAGGGTGGAAGAGTGGCCTCAGGCCCCTCTTCCCTCCTAAAAAGTTAAGACCCCCTCGAAGTCATTAGGGTAGGGCCTGCTTGGTCACCTTAAGTGAGATTATCTGGTAAGGTGATGGTTCATGGCCTCCTTCCTCATGCAGAGATGCTAAGACATTAATTAGCATCCCAGAGCCTGTTTATTTTTCCTGGTGACACCTCATTCTCTAAAGACACACCAGGTGCCCCCTCCTCTTCCCTGCATCCATAGTGTTAGGATTCATCAGCAACTCCTGTCGCCTGCTATTGTTCCCGTTTTTCTAATGTGTTCCCGCGTCAGGAAAGTCCATTTTTAACCATCACGGGCATTCTTGCTAACAGATTGTAATTGAAAAGGCAAACTGGAGAGAGGAATAGCAGAGAAAGGACCCGTTCCCCGCTCACCCCAGGACCAGAGAAGCCTGGCCCAGGGAGTGGAGTTGTTGCTGGCCCCTCAGAAATACAGGTGCTCAGCTGTGCTTTTCTTCACATCCT